GGTGTGCTGAGCAAGGGCCTGGGCGAGGGCTCCTCCGTCACGGTGGCCGGGTGGGCCGTGACGGGGCCGTCGTGAGGCACCGGGGACGTGGGTGAAGATGGGGCCGCGGGCGTGCTGCTGGCGGGGGCGGCGGGAGGACTAGACAGGTACGTAGGAACCTCACTGACGCTGCTGGCGCGGGAGTGCGTGGACGTGGGCGTCTCCGTGAGGCTCGTGGAGCGGCACAAGGATTCGGTTACACTGGTGGATCGACTAAGGGAATCACTTATGGCGGCGATGCGGTTCAGGGACTCGCTGACGCTTGAGGTCGAGGGAAGGTGCAGCGCCTCCTGGGACACGCTTCCGGACATGGCTGCCGCCGCCGCCTCCTCCTTGTTGAGTGGATCCGCGAGGCTGGTGGCGCGGGTGATGGGCCGCGGGGAGCTGGAGGGCGCGTCGCTAGAGGCCGTGGCAGTGGCTGGAGGCGAGGGGGACGACAGGGGAGGGCGGTGCAGGGAGTCCAGCGACGTCCGCCACGAGTGCGCTGGACTGAGCTTCGCGGGCGACGCAGGGGAGCCACTGCGCCCCGAGGTGAAGGACGAGCCGGCGCCGCCGCTGGCCAGGGAGGTGGTGGAGCCCTCGCTGGCGAGAGAGCGCAGTGCCGTCGAGGAGGAGAGCGAGGGCGACGACTGGGATGGGTGCAGCGGGCGAGGCGCGTTCTCCTTGTTGTCGGAACTGTGAGCTGAAGCCTCCTGCGTGTGGGCGTGGGCGCGTCGAGCCTTGAACGCCCGCAGTTCCTCTGCTGTGAAACTGACGGTCGTTGAAGTAGACCGCGCGTGGCCTGCCCAACCTGCAATATCAGGATGTAAGAATTAGCTTTGTATAAATTCTGAGAAGTAAAAAACTATTATACTTAAATAACTACTCTCCCATGGCACCGTAGAGGGCATCGACCACGCTGACCCGGGCCAGGCAGAAAGAATTCTAAATAAACCTCTGCCAATATTCTTGCGCGCAAGTGGATATCACTTCTTTCTTTTTTGTAATGTGGAGGAGGAATGTTTATGCACTTCTCCTGATATGTACCCTGACATTCTTCACTGCAAAAATAAGCGCATGCATGTGAGCACACATTCTTTGTATATACGCGCGTGTAAACGTGATTACTTCCTTGCTTGCGTGTGCTACCATACATGCGTTCACCAGGGCTCAAATATGGCATCTCTCTCCGTTTCGTCTCCTTTAACGGCATCCGCACGCGGAAACGTCCTCGCAATTCGTCACTCGGCTGAGTCCGCCCTCCACCGGACTCAGAGAAGTCCTTGTGGCGTGTCTCAGTGGCCGTCTTGTGGCCGAGCGGCACCGCACGCGCCTCCCTCGCCGCCCCCGAGCCCGACCTTGGACACCATGTTATACTTTTCTGCTGTAATGATACCTCTTGGCAGCCAGGCGCTCGTAATTGCATTGAAAACTCGCGCCCCCGTTTCCCTTTGCTCTTTCGCTCCGGCGAGGTTTCCTCTTACAATCCGAGAAAGAAAATGATTCTATAATGCTCGCAATAAATATCGTAAAGCTTTATGGAGACAGGGTAGCAAGAAAATCTTTCATATATAATCATAAAAATAACTTACTTTCATATAAATCTTAATGTAAAAAATATAAAAATGACTTACTTTAAATAACAAATATCTCAAGACCTTTACCCCGAACATGATGTTTGTGTTTATTTTCACTCAACACAAAAACGTCATTTACGTTACATCATCTCTATTACCTACTACAGCACGTTCAGTATATCTTAAAATGATCAGGCGAATACCCAACTGAAGTGCTCTGGCGTGGAGACGTGGCTAATAATAATAATAATAATAATAATAATAATAATAATAATAATAATAATAATAATAATAATAATAATAATAATAATAATAATAATAATAATAAAATAATAATAAATAAAATAACAACAACACCAACAAGAATAATAACAATAATAATAACTACGATCACAACAATAATACTTATAATAAAATAATAATGATAATAACAATAATAACATAAAAATGGGCGCTGCTGATATACACATCGCATTTTCGCTCTCAATTTCCCCCGGCACAAGGCACTCGTGCGTCTGAGTGCCTGGCTGTTGCTGACATCAGCCTCAATTCTTGTTCAGCATTAGTTTATTTAGTCTTATTTAAATCAAATCCCGCTCGATTATCGTCAAGCAAATAAAAACCTCGGCACTTTGTCTCGCATCACATATGCTTTATGAGGCGAGTCTAGCCTTGATGTTAATGGATGCAACTTGGGCGCCAGCGGGAGAGGAGGGGCGGAAGCAGAGGGGAGAGGGAGAGGGAAAGCGAAGGAGTGGAAAGGGAGAAGTGGAGGAAAAAGAGGGAAGAAGGCGGGCTGCAGAGGGAGAGAGAATTGGAGTAAAGGAATAGAGAAGAGGAGAAACAGAGATGGAGAGAGGATAGGATAGGAAGGAGGAAGGTAAAGGTATTGTTAAGAAGAGAGAGAGAGAGAGAGAGAGAGAGAGAGAGAGAGAGAGAGAGAGAGAGAGAGAGAGAGAGAGAGAGAGAGAGAGAGAGAGAGAGAGAGAGAGAGAGAGAGAGAGAGAGAGAGAGAGAGCGAGAGAGAGAGAGAGAGAGAGAGAGAGAGAGAGAGAGGAGAGAGAGAGAGAGAGAGAGAGAGAGAGAGAGAGAGAGAGAGAGAGAGAGAGAGAGAGAGAGAGAGGAGAGAGAGAGAGAGAGAGAGAGAGAGAGAGAGAGAGAGAGAGAGAGAGAGAGAGAGAGAGAGGAGAGAATAGGCAGAAAGGAGAGCTAGAGAGCCACGTGGGAGTTCAGGCTGGCTGCTGGGACCCTGCCAGTAGCTTACCATAACGTGTTTATCAAGATTTCCCGCAGCTCGTTGGTCCCGTTGGAGAGAAAATGTCATAAATATTGAGACGGCTCCCGGACCGGATGCCCATCGGAGGTGAGGATCACGTGAGGGGGGGGGGCGTGTTCTCCGCGTTCTGTTCTTCATCTTGTTATTCAATTATTTATTTATCTCTTATCATTCTGTTCTCATCTCTTTTCATTCTATTTTCCATCTGACTATTTTGTCCATCTCTCCTATTTACCTTCCTCACTTCAGATAATCATGTTCTTTATATTTTAATACTATGTTCATATCTTATCAATCTGTTCTCCATCTCTTCTTGTTATGTTCTCCATACTTCATTATTCTATGTGTCATCTCAATCAGTTTCTATATTTATTGAGCCCAGTTCATCATCATTCCAATTCTCATTCTTTTCCATTTTTCTGTTCGTCCTTATCATCATATTCCTTCGTCCTCTGTCATCATCTCCATTATTCTCTTCTTCATCTCTGCATTTAATCCTTGCACCTCATCATTCTATTCGTCATTTCCCTCATTTATCGTTAGTATTCAGTTCCTAATCCCCATATTTTATTCCCCATTGCTACTGACTTCTCAATTCATCTCCATCATATTCATTATTTCGATTATTTTATTATCCCATTAGTCCGTTCTTTTTTACCAGTTCATCAAGGATCGTCACCTCGATTTAATGAACATGTCATTAATCTCTAAACACATTTTTTTTCTTTCGTTGAACAAACAGTCTGCAATTTTGACCTTCATTGTCGCCAGTTATCAAGATTCCCTCTAAGATCCTATAACATTTTTTTTTACGTAATAACAGGGCACGGATTAAAGATATATATAAAGAAAAACAAAAAAAAAAAATGGCCAGATGACATCCGTAATGCCATGGGACGAAAAAAGAAAAGAAAAACACGAAGAAAAAAATGAGAGAATGAAAAAACAGAACTCCACAAAGTCCTTGAAAAGATGAGGACCGCGGCCGCCACTTCAACCCTTTGAGCTAACATCACCCCCCCCTAACATTCCCATACCCCTTCCTATCCTCATACCACCTCTCCCCCCCTTCCACCTATCTCTGTCTCTCTTCTCTTCTGTTCTTCTTGCTCTTCTTCACCTCTCTTTACATCACTTTCTCTCACCTTCTTCCTTCTCTCTTTTATCTCGTTCTCCCCTCTCTCCCTCCCTTTACCTTTTAGTTTTCTTAACCTCCATATCCCTAGTTTTCAGGCCCTTTCCTTCCCTATTCCTATTCTTTTCCCTCTATCATTCTCTATCCCACTCACTCTCCCTTACTATCTCTCCGCCTACATCTCTTCTGTTCCCTTTCCATCCCCCCCCCTCCTCCTCCCCCCCCTCTCTACGCAAATAAACCCGACAGAAGCTCGAGTCATCCTTATTTATCACCCTCGATGATCTCACTGTCGGCGGAGGACGTCACCGTGTTATGCGGAATGCCGAGGCGCTGTTCTGAGGGCACGGCACTCGGCAGAACAAACACGCCGAGGCCATCAGTACGCGGCGCGGACAAGTGGACCTCGCTCGCCGGCCATGTTCGCGCAGGCATTAACATGATGCTGCAGAATTCCCTTGGCCAAGATACCATCAGATGAGGGAGAGAGACCGCACGCCCAAGCCTTATCGCAAACGAGGGGATTCTTTACCCTCTGAATTCACGGCATGAACAGACCTCCTCCTCTTCGTTACGAACTGCCCGGTAATGATTGAACGCATTCTTACCATTGTTATTGACGTTGTTGTCGTTGTCAATCACATTCTTGGAGTTGTTGTTCTGGACGAGGCTGGAGGACGAGCCGACGGGGCGCAGGACTCCCGACGGGGGCGTGGTCGAGCTCCTCCGCTCCTGCTCCTGGGGCGGCGTGGGGCTGGTCCTGGTCGCTGCGCTGCCGGGCGTCGTCGAGGTGGAAGACGGAGGCGAGTTGATGTTGTTGTTGGTATTGTCGTTGTTGTTTTTGTTGTTGTTGTGGTTGTTGTTGGTGTTGTCATCGCGGGAGTAGAGAAGATTGCGGTTGGCGGCGGAGGGCGAGATGGTCCTCCTGTAGCGACCCTCGAAGCCGGTCTTCCAGTCCCGCCGGTGGGCCATGTACGAGTCCTTGTGGTAGGTCCTGCGAAGGAGGAAAATCATTGGTTAGCGTCTTGGTGCATTATCTCTGCCAAAATTTAACCGATAAAAAAATCGCAACGAAAAATAACATTGCGAAAAGGGAGGAAAAAGAATGTCAGAAAAGGGTGTTGGTTGTTAGAGCCTTTTAAGTGACAATGGAAGAACAATAAGCAAGTTCGGCCCAATGTCAACGGCACAATTTGGGCCATGAACGTGACAAACTTCTGGCCATGAAGTAGTCTGCAGACAACCTATTGCAAAATGCGAAGAGAACACGTCGCCATTACACAACAAGAAACAGAAGTGCTGCAATACTTTTCAATCTGAAAGATGCCTGTCATTAGGCTAAAATTGTAAGTAAAGAATTAATACTGTCACATTCAGAGTTTATTCCCTAAGAAATACACAACGAGAAATATCCCACGCCTTTCACAACGCTCTCCCCCAGCTTTACGGTTTCCCTTTCGTTCAATGTATTCAGTCCTTCCCCACAAGCCCTGCGTGGATGAGCCGAACCGAGGCCAGCGTTGCGACACGGCAGCTGGCATCCCGGGCTGAACCACTCATGATGCTGGCACACCTCCCTTTCACCGATAACACGCCGCTCTGACCCCTGGTGAATGTGCTTTCCCGCAACAGCGATGCCACCACACCCATGCGTTGTGCAAAAAAGGAATAGAAAAATCCGCGAACGTGTGGACTGATATCAGGGAACGAAAAAGAAGAAGAAAAGAAGTGGCAGAATCATCGAAAGCATGAAGAGGACCGCACTGTAAAAGTCTCCTGATTAGCATGTCGAGGTAGAATCAAGTCAAGGGATGGCAACTCGATTGAGCACACCCTGAACGCGACCCAGCATTGGCGCAATCCGGGAACAATGGCGGAATGTTCCAGCGGCTTGACCACGGAGTGTAGCAGCGGGGATGGCCCTCCCTTCAGCCCCTGGCGCGCTCTGGCGGGGAAGATGTCAGAGGGGGCGGGGGAAGGGAGGTTTTGCGGGGCAGAGGAGGAGGAAAAAAGAGTGAGAGAGTGAGAGAGTGAGTGAGTGAGTGAGTGCGTGTGTGTGTGAGAGAGAGAAAGAGAGAAAGAGACAGAGAGAGAGAGAGAGAGAGAGAGAGAGAGAGAGAGAGAGAGAGAGAGAGAGAGAGAGAGAGAGAGAGAGAGAGAGGGAGAGAGACAGAGAGAGAGAGAGAAGAGAGAGAATATCAGAGAGAGGGAGACAGACAGAATACAGAGAGAGGAGAGAGAGAGAATAATGAAGAAGAGGCTTTGAAGGGAGAGAATATGAATAACAAGGAATAAGCAAAAGGAGACAGCCACGAGCAAAGCATAGGAACGTGCAACTACAATCAACCAAAAATATCTCGAGACGAGAGCTCTGCCTCCTACGACTTCGTTCACTGAAGCGAACACGCCAAGGAACGAACAGTTACCTAATAGAGATGTGTTTTTGTGTTTAGGAAATTGGCCATGAATCCAACCCCCTCTCTGCGCTCGCGTTAGTCTATCTGTCAACCCTCGGAACGCTCACGACAAGCAAAATACACAACGATAAGCTAAAAATAACTTAGCTAAAGGAATAAAACTGCATTGCCTCAGCTCCCGTCCAGTTCTCCCTGCTTGGCCAAAACTTAATGTCAAAGGGCGAGGGCAGAGGGCGTATTTCATGTGGAAACTTCTTGGCGAAAGATAGTTTTTTTTCTTTTTTATCGAAGGTTTCAGTAGAATGAATCGCCTCCACAAAGTAGGCCACTTGGGAGATCTTTTAATCCTGGTAAGACGAATAAAATTGCTAATGTGGTTCGTAAGGCACAAAGTGAGACCCGGACACGTGGTATTGAGTGTCGTCGCCAGCATCGCCCTGAGTGCACCTCACATTCCTCTTCTACAGTTCCTTGCCTCTATCTTCCACGCCTACCCCTCCCTCCCCATACTTTTCTGTCTGTTTGTCTGCTCCCCCTCCCCCTCTCTCTCTCTCAGGCACCACCAGCGACCGCCCACTCTTATGGCAAGCCAAGGCCACCCATTGACATTAAACAAAAACATATCTGACTGTCTATTAACATCTCGCAAACAAGTTGCCTAGCAGGGCTGCCAACCGAGATAGACCTTCCATCGTGACGTTCGAAGTCATCGAGGAGCGAGGCCGTCGGCGCACCTCGTGCATGTCTGGGCGTATCGGGGAGGGAGCCCCGGGATGAAAAAACTTACTTTTTCTTCTGACAATTACCCGTGCTATCCTCGGCGCGCTTAAATACTTCATGACACGAGCAAACTGTAATGGTATTGTCATACTGCATCAATCAATGTTATCAAGGCCTGAACCGTGGGACAGCTGCACCGAGGCAACTTCTGATCACCGCGCCTCTTAAATGCCAGAGGTCACAGCGGCAGACCGAGCCCAGGGCCCGTCAGCTCGCGTGTATATATAACCATTCTTCTATTGCGTCTAAATAACCAGCAGGTATATTACAAACCGAGAGTCGGGCGGAGCCAAATCA